TTTTTTTTTTTTTTTTTTTTTGTTAATCCTCACCTGAGGATATCTTTTCCATTGATTTTTGCAGAAAGTGGAAGGGGTGGATGGTGGGGGAGGGGAGAGATAGAGGGAGAGAGAAATATGGATTGGTTGCCTCTGGCATGCGCCTCTGATTGGGGCTGGTGAATGAATCCACAACCCAGGTGCGTGCCCTTGACTGTGAATTGAATCCTTGACCTTTTGTTGTGCAGGTTGATGGTCTACCACTGAGCCACACTGGCCAAGGCTGATGTGGTTCCATTTTAAATTATGTTCTCTCTATCAACTGTACTATAGGCCTACTTCTCACTTAATCATACTTATTAGCTCTAAGGGTAGTTGTGAAAATCTCCAGTGACATTCATTAGGTACCCTTGATACTTTTAATTACAACTCTGAGGTCCCTTCTCATTTATCCAGCTCTTGGCTGCCCTAGGCTTTTATCTCCAGAATAGACAGCCACTGGGCCCACAGTTAAAGTGCAGTATTTATTTATGTTTCTTTCCTTTATTAGTCTAGGAGGAAAACTTTAGGCCTTATTTTTTTATATGTCTTTGGGTTTAGCACAATGTCTGGCACATGATAGGGCCTAAATAAATGTATATTTATATAAATGCTCTATTTTTATGTTTATTTATATAAATGCACCATTATTTCTCTCTTTCAGGCCAAGATGGGCTTCAAGGAAGGTGAAGGATTGGGTAAATACAGCCAGGGTCGGAAGGACATCGTTGAGGCCTCTAATCAGAAAGGTCGAAGAGGCTTGGGTCTGACATTGCAAGGCTTTGACCAGGAGTTGAATGTGGACTGGCGGGATGAGCCAGAGGTAACTGGTGTGGGGAGGAGGAGGAGGCAGGAAAGCTACTTGTGTTTTTGGGTGCATGCCTTTAAGTAGTCATATTGATACACTAGAAGTCTCCAGAGGGAGAGTGATCAGGGTGGTTAGTGAGGGTTGAACTAGTTTCTTACATGGAAGGTTCTGGGGATGTCCAGAATGGAAAACAAGACTCGGAGAGGGAATGATAGGTTGTGGATTTGCTTCCTGTTGCTTCATATAGGGCTATCTAAGACCAGTGAGTAGAAGATGCTGGAAGGCAGAGTTTGCCTCCACAAAGAACTTTAATAGATACAGCTTTCCAGTAGTGACTATGATACCTCACAAGGTAGTGAGTTTCCTCTGCTAAAAGGATTCAGGTGGCTGAGTGAGGACCCACTCTCCCATTGTATGAGTGACTGGATTAGGTGCCCCATAAGGTCCTTGTACCTCCGCAGGTTTATGACCTTCTTGTTCAGAACAGGTGTGTGTTTGTGCTATATGGCTTTTAAAAAATTTTTTTAAAAAAATATATCTCTGTTGATGTCAGAGAGAGGAAGGGAGAGGGAGAGAGCGACAGTAACATCAATGATAAGAGAGTCATTGATTGGCTCCCTCCTGCACACCCCATCCTGGAGATCGAGCCCACAACCAGGGCATGTGCCCTGTGAATCGAACCACGATCTCCTGGATCATAGGTCGATGCTCAACTGCTGAGCCATGCTGGCTGGCTCCATATGGCTTTTTTATTGTGGGTTAGTCCACTTACATACTTGGGCACCAGTTTGTTTTTACCCTGAATACCCAAAGAGGCTCTTACTCCTTTTCATGGCACAGATAATGGTGAGGTTTTATTTTATTCATTTATTTGTGTCCTGCCTTATTCCACAAAGGATTTGAAGTGGGTATAATAAAAGCCCCTAAAATAATGATGAAATATTACCATTATGGAGTTGAACTAGAGAAAGTAGAAAACAAATGTCTAGTCTTCTACATAATTGCTGTAATTTAGCCTCAGATGTGGCTCTGAAGTCTGGAAAATTGATATTTTATTTGTCTCTGTGATGTTTCAGTTCAGGAAAAACTCCCATGAACCTGTGCATGATAAAAGCCTGATAAGGCTTCAGAGTAAGAAGCTGACAAGCCAAGAGCTAATGGGTTCTGGGGTGGTCCTGCTGTGTTGCCTTCTAGTTGTGAGGAGACAAGACCAGCAGAATAACAGATGAGACAGTGCAGAATAGGGTAAATATTTGTAATTGGGTACTAGATGTAGATTTTTACCTCAGAAATGCTTGGTGCTTTCTGTGTCCTCATTTGTGTGAAAACAAGTAAAAAGTCCCAATTCTCTCAGTGGGACAGAATTAGAACTAACTGCTAAACTTGAAATACGAAATTTGCCCATAAAATTTCTGCCTTTAATGGAGACAGGCTATTGAAATTCCTTTTTGAGGCAAGGCTGTCCTAACTACCATCTACCATAATTCGATTTTTCTCTTACAAAGAATGCCCTATCTTTTGGTTAAGAGTAGCTTAACTGTTAGATCGTAGCTGCTTCTTTAAGGTAGATGAGCCTAGGCGGCCTGAGGTCAATTTCCCATTCCTGGAGTTGTTACAGGGAAAGTGCTCAGTGACTTCTGGAGCCCAGGAATGGGGAATGCAAGGTTAGAAGCTTCGTGCAAAGTCCACTTTGTAGGTAGCCTTATATTTAGACTTCTGTGGGGAGATTGATCTGCTTTTTTTCTCCAAAGAGGTGTCCAAAGTGTTTTGAGCTGCTTTTTTTTTTTTACGAGTTTATAATATAAATCATAACCATTTATGCTTAAAGGTGATGGGTTTGACCAAGGGGAGAAGCCATGATTTACTGCCAGATACATTGACAAAAGGCTTCAGTAATTTTTCTTTTAAACTTTTTCTCTGTTGATGGTGGTTGGCTTGCCCTTGAGACCGTGCATTGTGATACCATTTTATGCCTTTCAGAGCATGTAATATTACCTTTAACCACATTGCTTCAATTTGCAATGAATGGTGAGTCTCTTCTCCATACTTGCTCAGGAGGGAATGTGTAAAGCTGCCAAATAGGTTAGCCACCTGTTTGGGTTTCATAATCCATGTTTCTCTAGCCCAGTGACCTTAGCCCTGGCTGCCCATTAGAATCATATGGAGACTTCTAAAAATGTACTTATACCAGTTCTCACCTCAGACCAATAGAATCATATACTCTGAGGGTAGGGCCCAGGCACCAGTACTTTTTAAAAGGACTGCAGATGATCCTAATGTATAGCCAGGATAAAAACCACCGTTTTAGCTTGATAAGGAAAGTAATTGAAAAATAAAGAGGAAGCAGTACATTAGAGATGCCAGTTTCTGCCCCATTTAGAATGAATGGGTGAGGAATCCTATTTATTTTGTGAGTAACACTTTGAAAGACATCAAGAGGTGAGATTCATTGCTTTGTGTCTTCCTGATGTAATTACCTTATCACAGACACATATCCTATCCCCACTTCTCTATATTCCCACTGCCTTTTGGGTCAAGGACGATATCTTTTTTAACTCTACATTCTGAACACATAATCCATAGTAGGTATTCATCAAGAACACTGGGACAAATGAAAGACACTTTGGAGGTTTGGGAGGTTTCTTGGGACTCAAACCAGAATTGGACTTGGCCTTCAGAAATTAAACTTGAGAATTCTAACTCTCAATTCTCATGTCTGACACTGCCTTTGGCCTCAGCTTCCCAGACTCTTCCCACTCTATCTGAGTCCCTCATGATTGTTTTGGGGAAGCTCTGATGAGTTGGGGCATAGCCCTGAGGGTCTGTCTTACCTGACTTACTTGCCTCTCTTTTGTTTGTAGCCCAGTGCCTGTGAGCAGGTGTCATGGTTCCCAGAATGTACCACTGAAATTCCTGATACTCAGGAAATGAGCGATTGGATGGTTGTGGGAAAGGTAGGATTTCAGGAAAATGTATCCTGAAATTGTTGGCACTTATCTCCTGACTTTTCTTCTCTTCGAGTTGGTATATATGTGTTTATGCTCATGTGAAAAATGTGAATCTGACCATTCTTGGCAGGAGTAAAATTGTTAAGAGGGTGTGTCAAGGGCTTCATAGATGTGCCCCTGGGAGATGTGGCAGACGGCTTTTTCCTTCTGGTCATTTAACTTCCAAGACAACCCAAAATGCATCACTTTCATCTTCCTCACTGATGCTTTTAGAGTATATACATCTGTGTATATTCTGGGTACAGGTAGATGAAACGACACTGTACCTGTTCTTAGAAAGTAATGAGGGGGTTGTTAAATTGGGAATTTATTTAATATTCTTCTGGAAAATTGTAAGAATAAAGTAAATAACTACTTAATCAGTATGTTCAATAGAGTAGTTCTCAAAGTGTAGTGGCCCCCAGGGATCTCCAAGACACTCCCAGGGGGTCTGCAAGGTCAAAGTTATTTTCATAATGATATGGAAAGTTTTTTCACTCTATTTTTTCTCAAACAAAGTGTTCAGTGGAGTTTTCCAGAGGCTCTGACATGCTCTCACAATCAGTCAAATGCAAAGGGGAATCGAGGTGCCTTCTATTAAGCCAGATACTAAGAGATTTGCAAAACTGGGAAAGTGCCATTTTTCTCACTAAATAAATTTTGGAAATATAGTTACTTTTCATAAAAATGTGTTATGTTAACAAAACATATTGCTCTTTTAAAGTGAATAAATATTTAAAAATTTTCTGTTTTAATTTCTAATAATAAACCTTGAGATATATATCTACATCTCTCCCACATAAATAAACTCTTTGGGTCCTCAGTGATTGTGCAGAATGTAAGACCTGGACCACCAAGTTTGAGCACCATCAGCTTAGAGGTGGCCTCACTCAGACAGGAGGTTGGGCTTGACATCCCTGTGAGGCTCTCTTGAGCCCTTGTTTTCTGTACTGCTACCGTCAGTGCCTAGTGTTGTGCATTCATAATCATCGCAGAGCAAGAGGCTGACTGGTTGAAGGATAGGCTTCTGTCATTTGGGGTAGCCCCTACCCTTCTGCCTCCATGCCCTTGGGAGAGACAGCTTGAATGCCTCCTTCCTGTTTGTTTTTCTCAGCCTCAACATTCATGAGTCTTGTATCCATATGGTGAGAGCACCCAAGGGGCTGCTTTGTCTCATAGCCATCTGGAATATAGCCAGAGGGATTTAGGATTTTCTGGTCCCGCCCTCAGAGATCCATGTTCTTTGGCAGGGACTCCAGCCCCTTCTCTACTCACTTAGAACCCGAGTTTCTCCATTCATTCCACAGATGCAGTCACACATAGTCATTATTGACTGTTTTCTTCTCTCTGCAGAGAAAGATGGTTATTGAAGATGAAACAGAGTTTTGTGGGGAAAACCTACTTCACAGTGTGCTGCAGTGTAAGGTAAGGCCTTGTGGCTGGAGTTGGAGTTGAAAAAACTGAGGGGCTGTGTTGGGCTTTTCCAGTTCTTTTGAATCAGTTGTCGGGGACTGAAATTTAGCTGACATTTTCCTGGAGATCAGATGTATAGCTTGTACATTTCTCCAAGGTGTCCTTTTTCCTGGTGACTCTCCCGTCTTGTAGTATTGTGCTACTGGAAAGTGGATCCTTTCCAGTAGCCAGGAAAGGATCCACTTAACCTCATTGGGTCAGTTCATTGTAACCCCGGGGCGGGGTGGGGCGGGGGCTGGCAGAATGAAAGGCTTGGAATCATTCTTCAGCATCAGATAGACCTGAATTCAGATCCTCATTTTGCAACTTTTTTGCTGTGACCTTGGGCCAGTTGCTTTAGCTCCGCTGAGTTGAGCACCCTCATCTGTAAGACAGGGAGAAAATAGTTTCCAGGGCTGCTGTGGGAATTAAATGAAATACTGGGGTGAGGCTCCTAACATGCTGGGTGAATATTAATCTTCCCTTGATACCTTGTGGCCTGATTTTTGGGCCAGGAAGTGCATTGTCTGGCATGGAAAGAGCCAAAGAAACTGAGGAGGAAATGGGTTGGAGAAGCAGCATGGTTTCAGACCAGCCTCAGAGCCTTTTTAAAAGAATTTTTAATCTTTTTTTTAAAAATTGTTTTAGAGAGAAGAATTGCTGGGGGGGGAGGGGAGAAAGAAAAAGAAACATCTATATGAGAGAGAAACATTGATTAGCTGCCTCCCGCATGTGCCCCTACCTGGGTATGGAACCCGCAACCTGGGTATGTGCCCTGACCCAGAATTGAACCTTTTGGTATACAGGACAATGCTCAGCCAACTGAGCTACACTGGCCAGGGCTCAGAGCTTATTATTATTATTTTTTAATATATTTTTATTGACTTCAGAGAGAGGAAGGGAGAAGGAGAGAGAGAAAAAACATCAGTGTTGAGAGAGAGTCATTGATCGGCTGCCTCCTGCACGATGCCCTGGGCTGGAGATCGAGCCCGCAACCTGGGCATGTGCCCTGACCAGGAATCAAACTGCAGTCTCCTGGATCATAGGTCAATGCTCAGCCGCTGAGCCACGCTGGCTCGGCGTCAGAACTTATTTTTTGACAGGCAAGAGGGGTTGGGAATATCCTTACAGTGACTGGTGCTCATATGAAGTGAGGTTGTTTTTGTTTTTATCAGAGAGGAACTGGAGAAGGGAGAAGGGATCCCTACTGTGTGGTAGGTGCCATCAGAAAACCCTGGTCTTGGTTTGTTTACCCTCTCTCAATGAGTCCCAGTCAAGAGAGCCTTGGTATCAGAACTCTGTTCCCTTGGGAGGTTGCTGCTGGAGTGGAGAAACAGATTTGCAGTGAAGAGTAGTAATGCCAAGAGGGGACCCTGTGCAGAACCACAGGTGCCATTTATTAACCACTTACCATGTGCCAGGGATGTGCTTACATCTTATTTTTACTATTTTACAGGTGATGTAGTTGAGGGTCAGTGTGATTGAGCAACTTGTCTAGGGTCACACAGCTGGTCATTTTAGAGCTGGGATACAGCAGGAACCTTGTTCTTTGGAACGCTGTTTGTTAGGCTCCTCAGCCTCTTTAAGAACCCTGTCCGGCCTGGAGTGTGATACTCACCTTGAGGTTCTGATTCTCTCTGGGCAGAATGTGTTTGATGTCCTAGATGGGGAGGAGATGCGGCGAGCTCGGACCCGGGCCAATCCCTACGAGATGATCCGAGGAGTCTTCTTCCTAAACAGGTTTGCTGGCATTCCCCTCCCCTCCCCTGACATGCACCCTTCCGCCTTTCCTTTGAGCCTCAGCTTTCCATACGTCTAGTGCTAAGTTGAGCTGCTCTGTCTGTCTTTGTTGCAGGGCGGCAATGAAGATGGCTAATATGGATTTTGTGTTTGATCGCATTTTTACAAATCCACGGGACTCTTGCGGGGTGAGAACAAGTTTCTACTTCTGAATTCATAGTGCTAAATGGGCTTAAGCTTCAGTGGCTCAGAGATTGCCGTTTGTGCAGTGTAATTATACCTGCTCTGTATTAGAGATACATTTTATGTTAGATATTTTGGTTTGAGCTCCTCAGATAGGGCCCCACAGTGCTTCCTTTGTTCCCAGGAGTACCCTAGTAAGCATTGTCTCAAAGACCCAGCCCCCAACTCTGCAGGTCCTGTTGCTCACTCGCAGTGGAGGTGGGCAGGGCTTGCAGCCATGGAGAAGGGACACTTCTAGGCAAAATCAGCAGCTGTGGTGCATCTAAAGGCCTATGGAACAGGAAGGTGAGTCCACAAGTTAGAGCACGGGCCTTCCCCCTGCTTTCATTAAACATGTATTTATCCAGCCCCTACTTTGTGCCAGGCACAGTGCTAGGCACCAGCTATATAATTTTGAGTGAGATGAATGTGATCCCTTTCCCCATGGCATCTAGGTTCTGGATATTCCAGTGGACTTGAGAGCAGGGTGGGGATGTTTATAAAGCTTTTCTGTGCTCATTGGTGTGTGGAGGCCAGTTGCCACTGGGGGACTTGAGCCTGCCTTCTTTCTGCCGTGGGTGAGGTAGAGTAGAAGGGTGAGTGTACAATCTTTACAGTGAGCTTATTTTCCAATTTGGAACTGTGACATCACCTGATTTGGGTGCTGTTTCTGGTGTGAGAGGGGAGTGCTCTGGGAAATGTTTGAGAGTTGGATGAAATGTGGGCATCTGGATCCTTCCAGGTCCATTTAAAGTCAGTGTCATGGCTGTGTTGTTCAGTGAGGCGGCAGGGAGTGTACCACTTACATCATAGGTGGTGTCACTGAAGTTCACGCCGCCTTTGGGTCTCAGCTGCCTCATCTCTGGAATTCACCCTACTAACCTGCCAGAGGGCAGGGTAGGACCAAAAGGCTCTTAGGAGTTGTTCCAGCTCTCAGAGCTCTGAGTTCAGATGTGGCCACTTTCCCTTCCTGTCTCTTAGAACAAGCTTTGTGTGGGATCGTAGTTATCAGGCATTGGCCTTCTCAAGAAATGGTAAAGCAGAATGATTTTCTACTCTGCTGCACCTCATTCCTCTGACTGCAGACCCTCCGTGATGATAGAATAATGGAAACTTCATTCTAGCGTTACCGTCAGGGTTTCAAAGCATTTTTACCCGGGTCCAGAATGTTTGCTCTTTGCCTGTTTCTGCTTCACTCACCCTTCTTCCATTAGGCTTTCTGATTATCCACTCACTAAAGAAACTTCTTTTTCAAGTTCTTTAATGTTTCAGCTCCACCTACCTCATTGCTTTATCCATGATGGCAAAACTGAATAGATCCCTCCAGCCTTTAGTCATTTCTCTCTCCCATGTCTCCCTCCCCATTTTCCAGTACCAGCAGGCAGCACAAAGGGGCTCTTGGAATTAGCATCTTGAGAAAATTAGGTTGATATAATGTTGATTTAATTTTCTGAGCTCCAAATGATTTTAAACCCCTGCCTGGCAGAAGAGCTCTGTCAAGCTGATGGGAAGTCACAGCGTCATTTTGGGCTTTTGAATGAAAATGCCTCCAGCAGCTAGTGTCTGGTTATTGTCTTTTGCTGTCAGGAAAATGAAGAAGACACCAGGGTTGTACCATTCAGGTCGAGGGTGGAGATGTTAGTTACATAGAAAAAGGCAGCCGTGTTTGTAACGCTTCAGGCAGCTTCTTGACCTGAATTGATTGCTGGTGGCCATGGAGAATTCCCCTTTCTGAGATGTTTCTCTGCACTCCACTATAAAAAGTGATTTCTCTCCAGCCCTTGGTATTTTCTTTTCTCTTTCATCTCTGTTTTCCCCTGAGGACCAAAGTGACAGCCAAGGCCAGCAGGCTTGGCACATTTTTCAGGTGAGCAGAGATGCTCTAGAGCAGTTCCCAGGAGAGAGGGGAGTGGTGGGAGCCCTGGGCACATGCCGGGTTTGCTAGGGTCTCTGGCTCTTGGATCAGGCAAATGATAGAATATGAGCGTGGATGCAAAACTTGAGGCTTGGAGGGGTGTGGAGATGTTAGAGGTGGAAAGTGGGAGGGGACACGGCTCAGGTTTTCCTGTGTGCTTCTGGTTCTTCGGGTTTTGGTAAAAGTTGAAAAGAGACTAGGATAGGGGAGTAAAGAAATAGTAAACAAGAATTGGAAGAGACAAGGGAAAGAAGGGAGTTTAAATTCTTTGGGTATATGGAAGTCTGTTATAAACCATAACATTATATGAGGAATTTGTGTGCCTGGGGGATATTATAGAGGTAAGAAAACATGTTTTGAAGTGTAACAGGAGACAAACTGAATGGAGATCTTTAAGTTTCAGCACTGTCTTAGAGGAAATTAGTTAGCACTTACAGATGCCCCCTGAGGCACTGGAAAGAAAAGAAGATGGAACAGGACAAAAGTTTTGACTTCAAGGTAATTGACCTCGTTGAATATGATATCTTATGCTTGTTTGGTGTTTTATAGTTTATAAAGGTTTTGGACACATGGTAACTTATTTAATCTTACAACAGTTTTAAGAAATAACCTACGGCCCTGGCCGGGTGGCTCAATTGTTTGGAGCATTGTCCTGTACACCAAAAGGTTGCTGGCTTGATTCCCGGTCAGGCCACATTACCTAGGTTGTGGGTTCAATCTCTGATCAGGTCGTGTATTGGAGGCATCTGATGGATGTTTCTCATATCTGTTTTTCTTTTTCTTACTCTCTCTCTAAAATCAATAAAAACATATTCTTGGGTGAGGATTAAAAAAAAAAAGAAGAAATAACCTACATTAATCCCAGTTTACAGCTGAGGAAGGTTGAGCTTAAAAACCTAAATTGTGTGCTCGCCCTTGACTGCACAGCCAGTAGGTAGAAGAGGTGAGAACCCCAGCTGTCCTTTCTGTGAAAAAACCTTCAGGCCATGTCTTGAAATCACAAAATGAGATAATATTTATGCCCTCTTTGGAGGTGAGATGTTTTCATTGATTCAGTCCTCTCCCATCCCCTAGTCTTCCTTTGGGCCTGCTACTGGCCAGGAGAAGCTGGACTTTGGGGCTGGCGGGGGGGGGTGGGGGTGTGTGTGTGTGTCTGTGTGTGTCTGTGTCTGTGTGTGTCTGTGTCTGTGTGTGTGTGTCTGTGTGTGTGACAAGCCCTGCAGTGAGGAACATTTTCCCTTTTTCCAGCCTTGCAGGCCTTAAACTGATGACCCTGCCTCACTACCACCGTGCTGCCAGGAAAGTGCTACTTAATGTTCTCGGCAAATGCCATTAGGTCTTTTTTTATATGTAAATAAATAAAATCCAAAAATACAAACAATTGATGTCCCAGGAACAAAGAATGCTGAGGTGGAGTAGTGGGGGAGGGGAGAAAGAACTGATATATATCAGCATGCCTGGGTGGGCTTGTCACAGGCTGACAAAGTTTATTTTTAGCTAAAGTCACTTTTTCCAGAAACTTTTTTCACTGTTTTGATAAAGCTGGATAGCTATCCTCAGAGGAAAGGCCCTTGTCACCTAGAAATGGACTGGATTGTGAACATTAGTTTTTCCATTTCTTTCTTACGACTGTTTCTGATCTTTATCAGTGACAGAACTCTGAGCAAGCTCTCAGCCCTGTCCGCCTGTAGGGAGCAAAGCCTCTTCCTGCTGGTATTCATCACCCTCCTCTGTCGCCCTTGCTAGAGCTCAGCCTCTTGTTACCAGTGTAGATGCTACTTCCTTTGCTGTGGAGGGTCGGGGCAAGTAGAGTTCACCATCTAGGGCCCAGGTGTGTAAAAGAGAAGTGTAAACACACAGTATAGGTCTGTCAGTGCTGCGTTCAGCATAAATTTTAGATTAAGAGTTAGAATGACTCAAGTGGTCGCAATTACAATCCAATAAAAATTCAAATGATTATCAAATGATTATTGTAATATAGTTATTCCTGAAGTGGGTGGGTGCTCTGAGGGCTGCCTGGAGGCTGCACACTGGTGTTCCTTTTCTCTCTGTCTTGTCAGCCCCCAGCTGTATACCATCCCAGGCCTGCCACTAGCAGAGGGGCAAAGGCAGGAGAAGAGAGGGGTGTAGGAAATGAGGCGACTGAATGCACTGTGGTGTCTTGGATTGGATCCTGGAACAGAGCAAGGACTCTAGTGAAATATGAACCAAGCCTGGAGTTTAGTTAATAGTAGTGTACAAATGTTGGTTTCTTAGTTTTGACCAATCACAATGGAAGATATTAGTAAAACTGGAAACTGGGTGCAGGGTATATGAGAACTCTGTCTTTGCAACTTCTCTGTAAATCTAGTTATTCCAAAATAAAAAGTTAATTGGAAGAAAAGAGAGTGCCTAGAGGAAGGGGAGCAGGGAAGCAGAGGCTATAGTCTAGAAAGGTAGGCCCTGTGGCTGAGACGGGTGAGGTCAGAGCTCCCAGACTTGGGTTGGACAGGAAGACCTGAGTCTGGCCACAGGCTGACTGGACTCTGGTTTAACTTTGTGCAGACAGCTGGGAACAGGACACTTTGCGTCTTGGTATCTCTTTTTCCCTTTCTGTAATGTGGGGAGATATAGCATCTATTCTGCTCAGTAGGACTCTTTTAAGGCAGGATATGGTGAAGAAAAGATGCCAAGAAACAAAAAAATGCACACCCAGGTGCCCATTAAGATGTTTTTATTAGGAGTCTGAGCTAGGCCTGGTGATGTGAAGGCATCAGGGTATTTTGAGGTGGGGATGGGCAACTCCAGAGGGAGATGGTCACACAGGGTGCATTTCCTGGGTGTTGTGGTCCTGGCAGGAACTCTGCATTGTGCTTGGGGAAAGGCTGACTTCACTCCCTGCCTTCTCCTTCCCTTCTCCCCGTCCTCCACTTGCCTTTGCAGAAACCACTGGTGAAGGATCGGGAAGCTGAGCTTCTGTACTTTGCTGACGTCTGTGCAGGCCCCGGTGGCTTCTCGGAGTATGTGCTGTGGAGGAAGAAGTGGCACGCGAAGGGCTTTGGAATGACTCTGAAGGGCCCAAATGACTTTAAGCTGGAGGACTTCTACTCAGCCTCCAGTGAACTCTTTGAACCTTACTACGGTAGGGACACAGGGGAGGGGGTGTATTAGGGGCTCTGGGACAGTCCTTCATGGGGACTTTAGGGCAGAAGCAGCTGTTACCCACTTGCCATGTTTTCTTTCCCAGGTCTCAGCCTGGGGTTCCCAGCCCATGTCAGGAGGTCTTGGTTCTCCCTAGTCCGTCCCTTTTTATCCCCGGCCTGCGGGATGCAGTTTAAACACCCCACTAGGCACACTTTGATCCATGCTGTATTCATTTCCCCTTTCTTCTCTGTGGTCACAGGGGATAGTGAAACTTCCTGATCTCTGGCTGAGAACCGGCAGGGTTGTTAGCATGCAGACCCCACGCCCATCTCCAGCCCTGTGCTGGGTGTGGGAAGTACTGGTAACGGACAGCTCAGCACCCCTGCAGCAGCCCCCTCCACTCTGTCTTGGTTGTTATGATTTGGCAGCAGATCCCAAGTCCTTTCTTAAGAGTCCCTATTAAAAAGTCGATATTGGTTCTGAAATGTAGGTGCTTTAAACACAACTCTGGTCTTGAGGAGGAAGGCCCTCTGTTTCAGTTGACGATTCTGGGCTGGTTAACTCCTTTTCCATCTCTGCTTTATTACAAGACAGCAGGGCCCTGGGTCTTCCTCTGGGTCCATCACGCCAAGGCAGCCTTGTAGGAGGGGTCCTGCACTGAATGCTCCTCACAGGGCTTTTCTCCTGGACCATGAGACCCACCTGGTACCCCAGAGAGCTTGTACCCCAGCTCTTGGGATGCACAGGACCGATGAGGTTAATGTGAATCTTGTGTCCTGCAGGTGAGGGTGGGATCGATGGAGATGGAGACATCACCCGCCCAGAGAACATCACTGCTTTTCGGAATTTTGTTCTGGATAACACAGATCGCAAGGGCGTCCACTTTCTGATGGCCGATGGGGTAGGTGCTGGTGCTTTAGGGATTTAGCACAATAGAGGCTTGAGAATTGTTTTTGTTTTGTTTTATTAGCCCTTTAGCTGCCCACTACAGCTATCTTACCCAGTAGTCTGACATGGCAAGAAGTCTCTTCGGGAGTGAGCCACCACTTAGTTTAGAGGAAGGACAGAGAATGTGGTAGCTGCTCCAGGGTCACATTGTTATCAGAGAAATTCCACCTGTGCAATTCATGGGTAGAGCTGAGAAAAATCTCTGGAACAACTTGGGTGGCCTTTCAAGTATTAGCTTATGGAAAGGTGAAGGCATGTGCAGGACGTCAGCAGAGGATCTGAAAGCATTGTGCACAACAGGGGACGGCATAGACTGGTTGCTCCTGCTGAGCGGGAAGGGGGTCTGATGGTGCTTGGGAGGGAGCTGTTGCGATCTGGCAGCTAGGGTGGCAGGACTTGTCTTTCTGCTTTGGCAATGTAGACTGGTGACCTGGACTGGTCTTTTTCCTTTTTTGATTGACCCTATAAGCAGGCATGCACTTTGAGGAGCATCTGTAAATTTGGAAGACATTGTTAAACATTTTTTTATTCTGGGTCTTTTAGCTATTACCTTCATAGGACTGAGTCAGAGAGATCTGACCTGATTGGGGCCAACTTAACGGACAGCAGCCTCATTTACTTTTTTTTATTGTGGTAAAAAATACATAACATAACTTCACCATCTCAACCATTTTTGTTAAATACAGTAACATTGTTCTGAAACTGATCTTCAGAATGTTTGCATTTTGTGAAATCTGCACTGTGCCCATTAAACATCTGCCCTCTCTCTGTCCTCCAGCCCCTGGCCTCCTTTACTCCTCTACTCCTCTGTGCACTTGGCTCTCTGCTCCCTGCTAGGCTCTCACAGGGAGGGAGACCACTCCAGGAATAACAATGTACATTCTTTGAACAAGTACCTTGGCCAGAGACCCTGCTATCTAGAGGGAGAGGCTTCATGGTCTGGGACAGGAAAGTGGGTTTTGTGAGTAAATCCTTGGTTAGCAGAGAGAGATCAGTGATTGTCAGAGTTTTGCAAACTTTTCTCCTGTCACCAAAGGGGACTGTTCCACAGTTAGCACAGAGGCTGGGGGGGCCCAAGCCGAGCATTCAATGCCACAAGTACTTCCTGGGCCTCGTCAGACTCACCAGAGCATTCTGTTTCCTGTCCTATGTTTGGCCTGTGACTAGCCAGTGTTTTGCCTTTGTCTGCCTTACTCTTAACTTGGATTCTTAAGTGAGTTATGTAAATTTCTGGACCATCTCCTTGGAAAAGCAGACTTGGTTCGATCCCCTGGGTGTGATAGAGCAGGAAATGGCATTGGTCCAGTTGTTAGGCCTGGGTTCTGTTTGTAATAAGCCATGTGACGATGCCAAAATAATTCACATACCAAGCTGTATATCAGTCAGGTGGTTGAGATCAGTGAAAACACTTGAAGACATCTCAGTGAAGATGAGGTAGGGATGCCTTTTCAAAGTCTTCATCACTTCTGTTTCCCACTCTGATCCTCGTGTTCCCATTTTAGGGTTTTTCTGTGGAGGGACAGGAGAACCTGCAAGAGATCCTCAGCAAGCAGCTGCTACTCTGTCAGTTCCTTATGGCGCTCTCTGTTGTCCGGACAGGTGATTCTTCTCAGCTGACTCCCCACCCTGGGACCCACTAGAGGCCCTGTTGAATAAGAGCATGCATAAGGGTGGGCTTGGAAGTTAAAAAAAAAAAATCTGTTTATATCAGGTGACAGGTGGCTGAATGAGGAATTTAGGGAAGAAAGTGCTATAGAATCCTCAAAGTCCCTGCTACAGCTCAGTCTTCCCCTTAAATTGCCTCTGACTTTTAATGGACCCAGGTTCCGAGTCCCTGACTTGGTCATATTTACTCCCTGAGGTTACCTTATCTGCTTCCTAGACTAGATACCCACTGACTGCTCTTGGTATTTTCTCTCTAATCCAGGAGGCCACTTCATCTGTAAAACCTTTGACCTGTTCACACCATTCAGCGTGGGGCTCATCTACCTGCTGTATTGCTGCTTCGAACGAGTATGTCTCTTTAAGCCAATTACCAGCCGTCCTGCCAATTCCGAGAGGTGAGGTTTTCCTCTCCATTTTTTTTTTTGATCCTCACCTGAGGATATTTTTCCACTGCTTTTCAGAGAGAGAGGAAGAGGGGGAGAGAGAGAAACATTGATGTTAGAAAGACACATTGACTGGATGCCTCCAGCATGTGGCCCGAGTGGGGCTGGGCTTTGAGCCTGTAACCAAGGTATGTGCCGTTGGCTGGATTAGAACTCGGGACCCTTCAATCCACAGGTCAACACTCTGACCACTGAGCCAAACCAGCTAGGGCTTCCTCTCCATTTTAATCAGACTAGTTGGCTAAATGTCAGAACACAAATCTTGGCACATTTCTCTGGCATGGCCATTCAAGCTACATTAAAAACCTTGACTTTAAAGAAGTGATTAAAGCCAAGGGAAGTCAGGATTTGGATCTTACTGGTTCTCTGATATGCCAGTTCAGCCTCTGTCTCCTTCACAAGCCTATTCACCACACTTATGTGGGGGATTCTTGGTTTGGCCCAGGAGGGAGAAGGTGATCAATAGAAGGAAACATGGAGAGACTTGGGTTGGGATAGGGCAGGAGGGCCACAAGGCAGAGGTGGGACAGGGTGCCCATACACAGTGCGAGAGAAGATGCGGCCAATCTGAATTGCTGGTGGCTTGTTAAAAACAAGATTTCTGGGCCCCATCCCTGGAGAGTCTGATTGATGAGGTCTATAATTTAACAGACTCCCCAGGTGATGGTGCAGCCTGGCTCAGGGCAGTTGGGAACCACTGTCATAAAGAGTAGAAATATATCCCAACATAAAAAGGAAGGTTTTGAGGTGAACTTTTGCAACACAGAGTCTGTCCTGTTCTTTGTGCATAGATATAAAGCTGTTGAGCTTCATGACTCAGCAAGGGGCTTGGGGAGGAGGAATGTTGGCGGGAAGTCCTTGTTCAGTGGAGTAACAGGGTTTCTCCTGCCAGGTATGTGGTGTGCAAGGGCCTGAAGGTGGGCATAGATGACGTGCGGGATTACCTCTTCTCAGTCAATATTAAACTCAATCAGCTGCGGAACACCGATTCCGATGTCAACCTTGTGGTTCCCTTAGAGGTGATCAAGGGAGACCATGAATTTACCGACTACATGATACGGTCCAATGAAAGGTAAGCAAACCAGGTGTTTTTTTCTGGCACCACTAGGGTATCAGGGAAGACCAGAGAATGAAGGACTAGATGACTGCTCTTGGTATCACTCTGTCAACCCTGAAAAATTGGTAACTGGGATTGGTCTGCTTGTTCCAGGGCTCCCTGGGACTTAGAGCACCTTGGGAACCCTCATCCTGCTCCCATGCCCTGTCACGAGGGTTCTGGTGGGAGCCTGGCTGCCGTAGCCACACCCTTGGGAACCTGACGGTATGGTAGTGAAATCCAGCAGAGAGCAGCTTTGTCCTGTGTCCCTGGAGGCAGGAGTAATTTCCCTTTAATTGCTTCTGATTGTAAAAGGCCATCATGGTTGCTGCTTTGTGAAGCCCATTTGGAGGAGGAGGTGACTGGAAAGCAAGTATATGACATGCTTTGGAAGTTCTGGTACCAAAGTTTTTCCAGTTCGTGAGTTTCCCGGATGGGCGATCTGAATGCTGGTGGTTTTGGTTTGTTTCTTAACCTTGTTTGAGTGTAGTTCCTCCCCCGTTAGTGGTGGTGATGTAAAGTTGTGACAGTTGGCTCCGTTTTCTAGGTGGACAAGCATTAAAGTTTTTTGAGGTAGGTTGGAAAGTTATATAGTAGCAATGGATCAGTAGAAGTGCCTTCTTTGGGGGGCCAAATAAGAACATTTTATCCATTTATCTGTCAGTGGACATTAGATTGTTTCCATGTCTTGGCTGTTGTGAATAGTGCTCTAGTGAACATGGGGATGCCGATATCTTTTCAAGATCTGATTTCAGTTCTTTTGGAGAAATACCCACAAGTGGAATTGCTGGATCCTAATGGTAGTTCTGTTCTTTTCTTGCCTCATTGCACTTACTGGTTCCTCCAGTATGATGTTGACTTGAAGTGATAAGAGCAGACATCCTAGCCTTGTTCTTGATTTTAAGTGTAAAATGTTTAACCATTAATATGATGCTAGCTGTAGGTTTTTTGTAGATGTCTTTTATCAGGTTGACAAAGTTTTCTTCTATTCCTTGTTTGCTGAAGTTTTTATATGAATAGGTGTTTAATTTTGTCAGATACATTTTATGTATCTATAGAAATTATTTTTTATTTCATTTACAGCAAATTGCATTGATGATTTTCAGATGGAAAACAAATCTTGCATTTTTGGATAAACTCAAGTTGGTCATGAGTTGTCACTCACATCGCTGTATATGATTTACTAATATTAATAATTTTTGTGTCTGTGTTCATAAGGGATATTAGTCTCTAAATGTGTATTCTTTTGAAGTTCTTGTGTGGTTTAAATATATATATATTTAAATGAAATAAATTTCCCTTTGTAATAAATTTTATTATTAATACATAAATATATAAAAGTTTGGTCAAGTTGGTTCATAGTGATTTTCAGATCTTCTACATCTCACTGATATTTGACTTCTTCTGTCATTAGCTAAAAGGGGCTATTAAAGGTTCCAGTTATGATTGTTCAGTCATGATTTGTCCTTTTCTTTAGTTTTGTTAGTTTTTGCTTCATGTATTTGGGATCTTTGTTATTAGTAGGCACATGCACATTGAATATTGTCTTCTTAATGAGTTGATCTCTTGTCATGAAATATCCTTCTTTATCTCTAGTATACTCTTTGTTTTGAAGTCTATTTTGTCTGATATTAATATATCCACATATTAATATATCCACATCAGCTTTTTTTTGGTTAGTATTTACATAGTTTATCTTTTTATGTTCTTTTATTTTCAACTCGTCTTTGCGTTTGTAAATAACATATGGTTGGGTCTTACTTTTTTATCCAGTGCAACAGTCCCTATCTTTTAAATGGGGTGTTTAGTACATTTACATGGATTGTAATTGTTGATATGTTTGGGTTTAAATCTTCTGTCTTGGTTGTTTGATTTCTGTTTATCCTGCCTTCTATTCTTTTCAATGTTCCTTCCTTTTTTTTTTTTTTTCCTTCTAATATATCTTTATTGATTTCAGAGAGAGGAAGGAAGAGGGAGAGAGAGAGAAACATCAATGATGAGAGTAATTGATTGGCTGCCTCCTGCACTCCCCCTGCTGGAGATCAGACCCTTAATCCGAGCATGTGCTCTGACTGGGAATCGAACTACCACCTCCTGGATCATAGGTTGACACTCAGCCGCTGAGCCACACCAGCCGGGCCTTCATTCCTTTTTTGGGAAGTGAATTCAGTATTTTTTAGTAGTATTTCTTTTTACTTCTTTGAGTTTATTTTTTTAATGCCTTTTGTGTGTTATATTTTGTTAACTCTAGAGATTACAGTGTGCATCTTATCATAGTTTATCTATCTTCAAAAAGTATTCTGCTGCTTCATGAGCAATGTAAGAACCGTACCACAATAAACGTGCATTTACAATTTTCCTTCCTTTGTGCTCGTTTTATAGAAAACCTTACTTTACATTGCTGTTATTTTTATTTTAAACGGTCTGTAGTTTTTTAAAGAGATTTAAAAATATACACACCTCCTATATATGTACAACTAATTATTTTTAAAGGTTTCTTGATATTCTGGTGTTCATTCCAACCTGCAGAACCACGTTTCTGTTTGGAATCATTTTTTTCACCTGAAATAATTTCTTTTAGCCTATTTTGTAGTGGAGGTCTGCTAGAGACTATTCTTTCAGCTTTTGTCTTTTGAAATGTTTTATTTCCCTTTCATTTTTGGAGGATATTTTCATTGGGTGTAGATTTTGAAGTTGGCAGTGTTTTTTCCAGCACTTTAAAGATATTTTTCTCTGCTTTCCGATTGTTCTTTCCATTGCTTGCCTGTATGTCATGTGTCCTTTCTCCTCTGATTGCATTCATGATTTTTCTCTTCATCTTTTGTTTCCAGCATGTTGGAAACCATGATGTGTTTATATGTGTTTTTGTTTTGGGGTTTCTTTTATCTTGGGTCTATAGATTGATTTCATTCATCAGTTTGGGGAAATTCTTAGTTATTATCTTGTTAATATTTTTGTCTTATTCTTCCCTCTGCTTCTGAGATTTCAGTTATATTTATGTTAAGCTGCTTGTTATTGCCCACATGCTCTTTTATGGTTTTCACTTTTTTCTCTCATGCTTTAGTTTGAGAATCTGTCTTCAAGTTCACTGATTCTTTCCTCTACTGTGTTCAGTCTGCTGATAAGCCCTTTAAAATCATTCATCTCTAATACCATATTTTTCATGTCTATAATTTTTATTTGCTTTTTGAAAAATTCCTCACTCGAGGATATGTTTATTGATTTTAGAAAGAGAGGGAGGGAGGGAGGGGGAGAGATAGAAACATTGATGTGAGAGAGAAACATGAATCGAGCCTCCTGTATGCTCCCCAACAGGGGATTGAATCCATAACCTAATTATATGCCCTGACCTGGAATCCAACCCACAACCTTTTGGCATATGAGTCAACATACCAAACAATTTAGCCACCCGGCCAGGGCTTATTTGCTTTTTAAAAATATAGTTTCTGTATTTCTGCTGATATTCTTCATCTTTTTATGCATGTTATACACCTTTTCCAGTAGATCCTTTAACATGTTTTTCAGTTATTTTAAAGGCCCTGTCTGATAATTCCAATATTTAGACCATCTCTGGGTCTTGCTCTATTGAACTGTTTTCTCTCTCGTCAGTGGGTCACATTTTCTTGCTTTTTTATTAAATGCCAGACAGTGTGTGTAAAAGAACAGTGGAGACTAGAGTAGAAAGGGCAGCTTTTAGTGTAGGGTCTGTGAAGTGGGTCTGGGCTTTGTTGTTGCTTTATTTAGAATCAGTTCACCACTGCTTTTACGTTAGTAAGGATGGGATCAGAACCCTCCTTATAGCAGGACTTGGGATCTGAGTGTATGAAGGGTTTGACTTATTTCTCCCATGTAACTGTACTTTGGGATGTGGTTGAGGGGGTTGTCTTTCAACTCTCCAGCCCTTCCCCCAAATATAGATGGTCACTGCTCCTGCTAAACTTCACTGTCCTGATATCTTTGGGCTATTTGTTTTGGTAATCCTTCTGAGATCTTTTTTTTTTTCCCCCTTACCTTCTAGCCACTGTAGTCTGCAGATCAAAGCTCTGGCCAAAATCCATGCTTTTGTTCAAGACACGTGAGTCTTACCCACTTTCCAGAATTCACCTTCTTCAAGGGAATATCTTCGTTTTGTTCCTCCCCTGAGCACTTTGTTTATTTCATTCCAACAAACATTTAAAAATATGTACTCTTTTATCTCCTACTCTGCTGTGGTCTGTGAAGGATGCCAGAGAAGCATTGGCACGAATCTCGCCCTCAAAGACTTTATGATGTCCTTGAGAAGATGAGAGTATTAGGGAAAGGATGCAGGAGAAGTTAACAGTGTATCAGAGGGTGTAGAATACATAACTCAGGAGACACAGAAAAAAGTGATCAGAGAGGAAAGCTAGGACTGCTGAGGGCAAACCTGTGTCGCGGCAAGCTTAAGCTAATTCAGCTTCCTGGTGCTAGTGATGTCCACTGGGACGGGCTTACTGTGGCCTGTGTCAGCAGAGGAGGAGCCAGAATGTACCGCTGGGTCACTGCAGGAAGGGCGTGTGAAGAAGCCTGGCATCCAGGGGTCAGGAGGGTAGCCTCCTCCTTTCCCTTTGTAGCAGTAAGGGGAGGTCATCCCATTTTGTGTACATCTCAACTCCCATCTTCAAGGGGCAGAGCCATGGGAGTGTGATGAGTACTCGGGGCTGATGGCAACGTGGCCTCCGGGTGCACATGTTCATTCACGCAGGCTTCTCTCTCGGGTTCTGAGGGGTGCCCAGGAGGCACACTCCTTGTACCTCATGCAGGTTCTAATCTTGCTGGCTTCATTTTACCAGGAGCCTGAATGAGCCTCGGCAGGCAGAGATCCGGAAACAGTGCCTCCGTCTTTGGGGGGTGAGCATCTCAACCCCAGTCCATTGTTGCTCCAGGGCAGGGAAGCTGTAGAGAAGAATAGATTTGACTCCCAGCCATGTCACCTTAAGGTCTCCCACCCCATGAAAATGTCTGCCTACCAGAGCTGGAAGTCTCAGCAGTGCTGGATGTTACCTCCTTGGCCCTTTCACTGCCAGTTCGGCCCTGCAGCTGGGTCATAAAGGATAAGGGTGGTGGGTCAACTGGCCTCATTTTGCTGCTGGTGGCCCTGAGTAGCAACACTGACTAAAGACAACCCCAGAGGAAGGGAAGTGGCCCATGGTGTGTGCCACCAGGGCCTGAAGGGGAGGAGTGGCTGCATTATCCACCTCCACCCCCCCCTTTCTAGCCCCCTGTGCCACATGCCATTTCCTCTTCCCCAGTCTGACCCATCCCCTCGCCTACATAGAGTAACACAGCCTTGGTAAAAAGCTTTGAAAATCAAAGCTCATTGCTGTCTGTTTTCAGATCCCAGACCAGGCTCGAGTCGCTCCTTCTTCCTCAGACCCGAAATCTAAATTCTTTGAGCTAATCCAGGTAAGTCTGGTATCTGGTGAAAATAAGATGTTAGAGAGCCTTAACTCTAGCCCTAACTCTAGACCCCAGATGCCCGGCCTCCAGAGGTCTTGTGCAGCACCACTGGGCTGTGAGGGGCAGGCTGAGGTGGGACCCTGTGATGTAGGGTATTGGGTTCCCGGAGAGCCCACTAGGTTGCCTGAAGATTGTCCTGAGATATGTTGTGCTCAGCATTCCTGCCGTCCAAACAGTGGTGCAGAGTGTCACTGGCAAGGTCAGGGTCCCCTGAGATTTGCCTGCAGGGGAGACATGAAGTGTGGGATGATCTGGGGCAGGGGAGCTGGGCAGAGGGCAAGAGGGGCTGCCAGGAGAGCTCTGCAATGGGTCTGGCCTGACCCTAGGCTCCCTGTCTTGTTTCTGGTGAGCTGGTCCTTGGAATTCTTCTGCCTTATTTTTTTCTACCACCTGACGTCCAGCTTTTCCCTGGGTTTCGTTTAAATCTGGCCCAGGTCATGGGCCACTGTGCTGGTTTTGGGAATGAGGTTGAAGACGGCCTCAAAAGAATAGCATGTGTCCATTTTTTTGAATGGGGTAGAGAGATCACTTAATTGCTCTCAAATTGACTCCTGGCGAGTCCTTGCCTTCAGTTTTATTGAAGGGGGTGGCTTTTATATTCTGGTGACATTTCCTTATAGCTCAGCACATCGATCTGTACTTGGAGACTTGGTGGTGTTTCCTTTCCCAGCCTCCCCTGATCGGTCCTAAAGGAACAGTCCAGGCAGATGGAATTCGACCCCAGTTAGTGCTTGGTTAGGGAGAGCTACGGTGCGGGGGATGTTTCAGAGAGCATGTGCTTCCTGTCCCTTACCTCTCCCAGCCTGCCCCACTCCCACACAGGCACACATACTGAGTGCCTGTCCCTTCCCCCAACCCAGCCGTGTTTTCTCTGACCCGGGGCTGCAGGGCACTGAGATTGACATCTTCAGCTATAAGCCCACGCTGCTCACCTCCAAAACCTTGGAGAAGATCCGTCCAGTGCTCGACTACCGCTGCATGGTGTCTGGCAGTGAGCAGAAGTTCCTCCTTGGCCTGGGGGTAAGTCTGCCGCTGGCTCCCTACCCTGTGAGGGGTGGTGGAACCTTGCCTCTATCTTTGGGGATCTGGACAGTTGCTGCCACTCAGTGCATGTTCTCTTGGCACCAAGGGACTTGGGCTTTGACCCCAGGAAGGTAGTTCTTGAAACTTCACTTCCTTTCTCTGAGTCAGCCAAGCGTTTTCATTCTCTCTCTCATTTACTTATGCATGTGCTTAGTCACCCCTGCACTGCTAAAGGGGACACTGCCACTTCTTACATGGAGCTTCCTAGGCCAGTAGGATGGTCAGCAGGCTAATCTGGCTTCAGCCCATGCAGCCGTTACTTTGCAACCCCCCCCCCCCATATTTTCTTGCAAAGACGCTACCTGTCTGTACTCTTGGCCCTTGAGTCTAAAGTGAGCTGAAGGACATCCTTGGCAGTTCTCTGTAACTTGATTGGGTACAGTTGTCATTGCTTTCTTCCGACTCTGATTTGTCTTTCTATATAATTTTATCTCTTCTTCCTCACTTTCTGTGTCCTCTCACACTTTATCTTTTTCTCTGCTACTTTCTCTTGCCCCTTCTGCTCTCTGGACCCTTTACCAAACCCACCTCAGACATATACACTGACCTGCATCTTTCTTGAGGGTACTAGTCATGGACTTAGCCATTTGAATGGTGCCCTGGGTCTGTTCCCTACACCTGGACTGAGCCGATCTCTACTTCTCTTCTGCTGAGGCCGTGGAGGACACCACTAGCTTATCATTGAAGTATGACCGACTGATCTCTTCTAGACATCTTTTTCTGACATTTCCCAGCCCCATCAGCTTGTAGCCACCAACTAAAACCCCTTTTAAGAACTGAGCCTTTCACCCCTCAATCTCCATGCCTATGTGACCCAGCCCTTTCTTTCTGCCCACAGAAATCACAGATCTACACATGGGATGGCCGCCAGTCAGACCGCTGGGTCAAGCTGGACCTGAAGACAGAGCTACCCAGGGACACTCTGCTCTCTGTGGAGATTGTCCATGAGCTCAAAGGGGAGGTCAGAGGTGGTTCTGCTCATGTGTGCTGGCCCTGCCAGCTAGGAACAGGGGCACAGTGGAGCTGGCCCTTTTCCTGGAGTTAACTGGGTTACAGTGTATATGGTGCTTGACGGGCCCAGGGTTAGGGGAAGGCATGGTAATTACTCCTTCCTCTCAAGCAGTTGACATGGTATGTTTGTAGGAAGGACCACAGTCTCCATGTGCGAAGGAGGAAACCTCCGTCATGTCTGCATCGAGGGCCCTAGTGGGCCTGCTGGGTACTTTTTAGCTGATTTAGTTTTTAACCTTTGGAAAGAAGCAACTTTCCCACAAGCTTTGGATGCTATAGCCATATGGGTGACTTTCAGAACAGTCAGTGGGAACAGTTGGCAAGGGTAAGAAGCCAGGCCCTTGGCTACAGCACCATGACGGCAGTCTCACTCACTGGGTTTGAGATTCAGGGGGGCTCATCACCCAGAGCCTCAGATCTCTGCATGCTCAGAAGCCCGGGCTAGTCTGGTGCTGAGAATCAGCTGGGAGGGAAGCAAAAGAAATATCGTGTGTTTAGGGCCGTTCCTGCCCTGGCTGTAGGTATAGTGGTGGACAGAGTGGGCTCCAGGCCAATGCCTAGCAGGGTGGGCAGTGTATTTGTCTTTCTAGGGGAAGGCCCAGCGGAAGATTAGTGCGATCCACATCCTCGATGTCCTTGTGCTGAATGGCAGCGACGTGCGGGAGCAGCACTTTAACCAGCGGTCTGATCTGGGCCCTGGGGGAGGGAGGTGGGGTGGGCTGGGGCACCTCTGTGGCAGCAGCTTCTGAGGCTTGGCCCCTCTCCCAGGCCTTCTCTGCTTATGGACATCCTTAGAGTTTCCTTCCTCCATCCATGGGCTGGCTCCAAGGGCAGGGTGAGAAATTGGTGCTGGCAATTCAGAGTTTGCTAGGGCTTGGGCCTTGCCGGCCATAGATACCAGCACAATCCTATTTTGCTACAACTGTTCAGATCACAGGGGATAATTTGTGTTAAGGTTGAACAAGAGGGTAACCTTGTAGGGAGGAGGAGGGTCTTCTCTAAAGTACATGTCTTATGCTTGGGTAGTCCCATTGAAGTCAGTTCATCTGGATGCCACAACTCCCATAGAGGCACTTTTGTTGAAAAGGAGGGAGGGACAAAAGGAGGGACGTCTTTCACCATGATGCTGATGTCACTCCTAAGTTGGTTCATCTGAGTGAGTGTACTATGGTATCTGTGGGTTGGGGCGATAGAACAGACACAATAAAGATGACATTGAAGTTCTGCAGGAGGTGCCTGAGTGCAGCTGAAGATACACTTCAGGAAAACCAAGATATGGCAAAATTAGAGATCAGAATTCAGAGAGAGGGAGAGGGCATGCATAAAGACGTCAGAGGAGAGGGGCAGGGGGAGTTTCCTATGGGACTTGAGTGCTTCTCTTGGAGCAGTTTTGCTGTGGGTTCAGAAGTGTTCTCCACTGGTGCCGTGCAAATGCCCTGGGGCAGGGGTGCGGCTGGAGGCACCTTATGTCTGAGTGATTCTGTTTGGGTTGTAGAATTCAGCTTGCTGAGAAATTTGTGAAAGCTGTTTCCAAGCCTAGTCGGCCTGACATGAATCCCATCAGGTGAGCATATCATCTCTCCCTCCCCAAATCCCCTTCCTCATTGCTTTTTTCTGGCCAGTGCCTCCTTCCCTGTCCTGTCGGGGATGGGAGGGCTCAGTGGAGGGGACCAGGTGAGGTTGGTGTCAGCGATAACACTGCCCTTGATAAGTGATTTGAGGGTGCTAGGTAGGTGGCTCCTTCTCCCCAGAGTAACTCCTCATCCTGCCTGTCACGGTGGACGAACCTTCACAGGAGTCATTTCTAGGGGTTAGGTGTCCTCATTTAAGATGCGTGTGCTGAGTGCTTACATACCTCTATGAGCCACACATTGACACTTGAGCATCATTAGCATATCACCTGGCCTTTTCACTTTTTTCCAGTGAGAAAAGGGTCCTGAGGGAATGGGAGTTTTTGAACATGAAAAAGAGAAGGGTGGTTTGAGGGAATGGGAGCTTGGTGCTCCGGAAGAAGGCCAGGGTTTGTTGCCGTGTTTGGTTGTGTGAAAGCCCCAGGATCCTGAGGGAGGAGAGGAGGGTGACAACAGTCAGGGAGCAGACAGATGGAGAACAGACTTTTCATTGCTGGGCCAAGGTCTGAAGTTATTACCTCTGGGCCTCATATGACTAGAGACTGAGATGCCTGTTTATACTGTATCAAAATCATTTTTATTATTCTTTTTAATATGAACTAACTTAGTTAAAATTAAACCCAGAGAATGCACTTTATAGATGTCTCCTGAAAGTCTAAAAGCAGTTTTCTTTCTGTGCTTGCAAATGTCCTGTCTGCCTGGTCCTGAGAGGCAGCTCCCAGGGACCCTGCCTCGCTGCTAGTGGCCTGGTTGCTGGGTCTCTGAGGACCTTCCACAGTGGCAGTTCCCAGGGCAGTGCCCAGGTGGAGGGCTGCATCCCGAGGAGGACACCCCCTGCCCCCTATGGTAACAGGCCTGTTAGGACTATTTGGAAGTAACTGCTACAGGAAGGCCTAAAGTCCATGTAGTCAGACATGGGCAAGAGCCTGGACCCTGGTGTTCTGGCCTCTGGTAACAGTAATGACGAACTGGGGTGGGATGTCTGCCAGCCCTTCCACTCCCTCCCATCTTCCATAACCATAGTTGCACTCCCAGTTGCCTGGGGGTGGGCCAGAGAGGATGCTGGACACTCTGAAACCTAGGGTTTGATTGCCTAGGACAGCAGTGTGACAGGCTGGGGGGGTCCTGTTCTTGAAGGGTTGGGTGGTGCCGGGGCCTGAGGCAGAGGACAAGGACAGGCACAGCCTCCTGCCTACCAGCTGCTGTGTGGACAAAAATGTCCCCCCAGGAAGCCTTTGTTCTCTCCATCCCTCTACCCTCAGGGTGAAGGAGGTGTACAGGCTGGAGGAAATGGAGAAGATTTTTGTCAGGTGAGTGACTCAACCAGTGTAGCTCAGGTTTTGAGTTGAAGTGGGGGCATAGCAGTGGCTAGGATTTGCTCTGTTTTTTGTAGAGATTGGAGTGGGTGGTGAGTGGGCCCTGGCAGCTGCCTTTACCGCCCTACCTCCCTTGCCTCTGTGCAGTGTGGTTCTACTTGCAGCCAAGAGCCCCCAGCTGAGAGCTGATTCAGCACCCTGTCAGGAGGGGAGCAGGCGGGTGTGTGTCAGGCAGAAATACGGGCTCATTGATGCTGTAATAGTTACGATTGTCCCTGTGAGGGGCAGAGCAGCAAGCTGCTTGAAACACTATAAATCCCAGCTCCTGGTGCTGACAGAGAGATTGAGCCCGGAGGGGGAGGGGGTCATAACTGCTTTCTTGGATTTTTAGCTGTTGGGGGGGTGCTCAGACCTGTGGGTCTCATCCTGGGTGTGCGCCTGCTTTGGCTTCAGCTCTCAATGTCCTCATGTTAACTCTTTACTGGCCACAGTTGATGCCATGGGTGGTGGACTGTAGACCCAGTGGCACCTGTGGTGTCAGATCTTATCCTTACTGGTGTCACCCTGAAACTTCAACAGCAGCGATCACTCCCCTGCCTCCATTGCTTAGTTGGGAGTTCAGAGCCTGAGTTCTGAACCCAGCACTGTACTGACTCCCTTGCAGTGGCTTGGAGCAGTTTACTCATGTCTCTGCCTCAGTTTCTTATGTTGAAGTGAGATAAAATACTGTGTTGATGTGATTTTGATAATAGCAAGAGACTAATGTTAGGGCTCTCTCTCATGCACACACTCACACTTCCTGTTTGCATGCCTGCTTGGGGAAATCAGGCTGGAGATGAAGATCATCAAGGGCTCTAGTGGCACACCGAAGCTCAGCTACACAGGACGGGATGACCGGCACTTTGTGCCCACTGGTCTCTACATTGTCCGGACAGTGAATGGTGGGTGATGAGTGACTTCCCTGTCCCTGCCTCCCTCAGTCAGGGTGACTGGCCCAGATCCTGCCTGCGCCAGAGCTAAGAGTTCCCACGAATGTGGGTAGCAGCCAGGCTGGCATTTCTTTGGGGTGTATGGTAGGGGGGATTGTGTGCCTTGAGCCTCTTCTGTTCTTTGGTGGGTCCTGGGGGTTCAGTTGGGGCTGGGAAGAGAGGAGCCCAACTCATATATGCACATGGTGTCCTCATGGCAGGAAGAGGAGGTTCTCAGAGGGCAGCGGCAGATCTAGAAAGTCAAGCTTGGCCATTTGCACCCCCTGTAGAACCCCCTTCTTCAGAGCCCTCTGGTTAAGAGTCCTGCTCCCTCTGCCAGGGTCCCAGAGATGTTGCCCTGGTACAGGTTGACAGTACTGGGTAGGGTTGTTAAGTAATTACCTTAGTTGTCCTTTAGAGCCCTGTGGGCTGGTGATGAAGGCTGCACCCTCACAGGCTGTTCTCTGCCTGTGCTTTGGGGGAGGGGAAGAAGAATGGGAGTGGAGGAAGGCAGGCCCCTGCGCTGGCCTGACCTGTTCCCCCATGGGTATCGTGTCCTTTCTGGGCTTCTCCTCTTCCTCTGGCAGAGCCATGGACCATGGGATTCAGCAAAAGCTTTAAGAGGAAGTTCTTCTACAACAAGAAAACCAAGAACTCTACCTACGAGCTCCCTGCAGAAGCCATCGCCCCATTTCAGTAAGTAGCCTTCCTCCAGGCCTGCCCCTCAGCAGCCCCAGGTACTCCTGCCAGGATGCCAGGCGTTGCCCGGATCCTGAAACCGACTGCTGCCCATGCACAGGCTCCCCTGAGCAAGGGCCAGGCTCCTCCCCACAAGGGTGCAGAGGGCGGCCCCTCCAGGGTGTGGCTGGGCCTGGGTAGTAAGCTCAGTGAGAGAAGTGATACCAGGACATGCTGTGATGGTTGGGGGTCCTGGGTTCCAGGAAGGGTCCGATTTAGGCAGGACACCTGCCCCATGGAGCAGCCACTGCTTCCATGACTGACACTGGCCTAATGTTGGGAACACGGAGTACCCACAGCCCTGCCCCTCAGAACTCAGGGTCCCAATTGTCCCTTGTCTCAGGACCCAGTGTTCATTTGCTAAATTGTTGAACATAGGTTTCAACAGCCACTAGTAGCCCTAATGTGCCTAAAATTAGAAATTGACACTAATTTCTGTCACCACATGAATACTGTTCCATTAGAACAGCACAGACAGATAAACCAGGAATATGGGCAATTGTAGAAATCCAGTTGGATGCAATCAGCTGCAGCTGTTTATTGGGAAAGTGGGTCCTAGGAGGTGAGGAGGAAGAGCTGGAGCCTTCTGGGGTTTTGGCTGCCAGAGGGAAAACCCTCAAGTGGCATCATTCATAGTGATGACAGGACCCGCTGTGATGGTTCGGGGTCCTGGATGGGAAGCCCCCCCCCAAGAACACTCGTCCCCTAAGCCACAGTTGCTAGGGGTGGGGTGGTGATCTCTTGGTCCTGCTCTACTTGGGTGTAGCCCTCTGACTTCTTTTCTCCTCCCCAGCATCTGCTACTATGGCCGGCTCTTCTGGGAATGGGGGGATGGCATCCGTGTACATGACTCCCAGAAGCCCCAGGACCCGGACAAGCTGTCCAAGGAGGATGTCCTCTCCTTCATCCAGACGCACAGCGCCTGAGGGCCCAGGGACACCCACTCCAGCTGACTGCCCTGTCTTTGAGAGTCAGGGTGCTCTGCCTGGGCCCACAGTACTGGTTCCTTCTATGGGGGGTGGGTGGTCTCCTGTCCATCTCCCCTGAAGAGCTCAGTCGTGGGCCTTCAGAGGACACTCACGTGTTCCTTCTGGGACACCTTTTAGACTTCCTTCCCTGGAGACCTGCCTGGGACTGTCTCCCCTGCCAAGACTCAGCCTGAAAGACGCTGCTCCTACGGCGGGTGTGCGGTCAGGGCCCAGGGCCCGTGGGGCCGGCGGAGGATGTGTCAGAGAGCAGCAGGGCTTTAGCTCTGCTCTGCTCTTCTCTCCTGTAGACTCACTTTTCTGAGTTCTGTGCACTGCCCTGAGGGCCCCAGCTTTGCCCAGCTTTTTACTGGGCCAACCCTGAGTGGGTGAAGGCCCACTGGCGTGAGCTGGCCAGGAGCAGTTCCTGTATAAATCAAGGTTTTGTTTCTTTGACCTTGTTCTGTTTCGATGCCAAGTTGGAGAAGATTTTCTTGTCTTGTCCCCCACCCTGTCTTGGTCTTCCCTGGAGTTCTCAGCCTAGACCTCTGACAGTCCCGCAGGCCGGGAAGGGAGGTGTGTGGGCCCATGTCCCTGACACCACATCAGGATGCAAACAGCACTGTCTTTGGTAGTGCATGTGACTGCCTCCTGGGGTGGTAGAGCCTTCCTGGGCCCCATCCCCTTTTGACCTGAACCTTGGGCAGCTCTAGAAGGGGAGGAAGCACCCTCGAAGCCCTGCCTTTTTCTATGCCCAGCAGCAGTGCCCCCACTTCAACAGAGGGTACCTCTGGGGTTGGGTCGCACCCAGCTCTCTGGCAATCATGGCACCCTCATTTATCACAGCCACCTTGCTACCCTTCCCCCCCTTTTTCTTCGCCAATAGGGGGGTACAGTCACTTTTGTCATTTTATGGTCACACTATTCCTCTGGTGGTGGCAGAGGGGGAAGAGGGAAGCTGGGCAGTAGCTTTCTGTGGGGAGGGCACTAGTGGTTGTTTTTAATGGGAAATACCTATCAGAGATATTCCTACAGGCTCCCCAGGGCCCCATCCCAATGCTAGACTGGTTTCCATGGAGATAGGGCTCCCTGTGAGGTTGGAATTTGCTCGGCCTTGGGGTGGGAGTGGGTCTCCAGCCAACATCCAGTCCCCCCCACCCCCCACCCCCGGGTTGGCAGCAGCACTGCTAAAATGCTGTATTTCCACCCAGTTCTGGGTATATCAGTGTGTCTTGCAAAATCTTGGATCATTAAAGATAAACATATTTTTAATGCCTGTGTGGCTCTGTGCTGGGGCTGCTGCTGGTTGTCCTCGGTACTTTGTGGTCTGGAACTGGCTTGGATAAAACAGCTTGGGCTGAAGGTGAAGGGGAAGAAGCTGTGCTGAAAGAAGAGGGGAGAAGCGAGGGTTTGTTTAATCAGAGCCTTGTCCAAGCTCAGGGCTCCCAGAGCTGCTGCTTGCTGCCAGAGAGGGGCCCAAGGAAGTCAGGAAATTATGCAGCTCCTGTTAGAAGCCAGGACTGGAGGATGAATGAACCTACAGCCCAGCAGGGTAGGGAGGCACTTTCCCCCTTACATAAATCACACGGCTCACTCTGGTGATACTGTGACAATCCAAGATCAGTCTGTGTGACTAAAATAACAGAGGTGTCAGACCAATTAGTACCACTAGACTAGAGGAGGAGAGGGAAGGAGAGATGGTTTTGCTGACCCCCAGCCAGCATCCCTCTGTTCTGCGCCTGCACTGGGGCCTGTGCTTGGGGGTGGGGGACATGCGGGTGCTGATGGCACCTCTGCTCTGTTCCAGGAGTTCTTCACCCTGGCCTCATGGGTCCTTCCCTGAGCTCCCAAGGCAACTCCTTCCCATGTTTTTTAAAAAAATCCTCACCAGAGGATATTTTCTGCATTGCCTTTTTTCAGAGAGTGGAAAGGGGTGGGGGTGGGGAGAGAAACATCAGTGTGAGAGAGACATCAATTGGCTGCCTTCTGCACGGGCCCCAACTGGGGCTGGGGATCAAGCCTGCAACCGAGGTACGTGCCCTTGACCAGAATCGAACCCAAGACTCCAGTCTGCGGGCCGACGCTCTAACCACTGAGCAAAACCTGCTAGGGCTCCTTTCTGTGTTTTACTTGATTGGGGTGATCTCAGCTCCTAAGCCCTTCACCCTTTTGGTTGCCCTGTTCTCTCCCTTGCTCTAGCCTCCCACTTGGGACTCCTGGGCTCTGTGTAGGAAGTAGAGTTGGGCGATGTGCTCAGAGCAGCATGTGATGTCTGTGTGTGTGGCTCCTGCCTCCCCCTCCGGTCGGCCCTACCTCTTCTGCTTCTCCCAGGAGACCCCACCTGATTTACTGGTCACTGTCACCGTAAGTCTGGTCATTACCATGGCTCTTGTTGCCCACTCACTCCGCCAGACCTCGCCAGCCTTGCCTGCCTGTTTAAGACGGATTAACTCCTTGCCTCGGTGGGACTGCCAAGCAACCACTTCAAGTCCCTGGTTACCCTTCGTTGCACAGGCTACCTTTTTTCTGCCATAGTTGCAGGCAGTGGCACTGAGTAGAGGGCAAGACAGAGTGCTTGGTGGGGGCGGTGGGCACAGGGCACATGGCACAATGCCCAAGCCCTGGAAATGGCTCTCAGTGTAGTTCTGCCTTGGAGAATGCTTCCCATTGTCTCTTTATTCCTTATTTAAGCTGGGGGTTCACCTTCACAGCCCCCCTTCTTTCTGAGTTCTAAGCCAAGAGCTTTCCCTTGAACATCTCTTCTCCCTTAA